ACGTTACACATTCAGTCATCATCATGATATCGCTGTTGTTAGTGCCTAGTATATCATCTTCCTCTTCTTCGCTATCCCACGCCGCATTGCCATCATCACAACCGTCGCCAATCATAGCAGTAGAACCAACCATTTCCTCTCCTTGTGGCTCAGCATCATCCCCTGCACCCTCTCTGGCCTCCTTCCAACCCTCAACCCTCCACTCCCTCGACGCTCTCCCCTGACTTCGAAACATCCTCCCAATATCCCTCCCTGCACCCCCCTTATCCACCCCCGCAACCAGAACCATGTTTGTCACCGCAACGTTCATCACGCAGATCTTTCCCGCGCCCGATTTTTCCGGATGCAGTCTGCGAAAGAGCGGGAGGATGGTTTCGTTAACGAGGCGGCTGGCTAGAGGGTCTATTGATTCCCATGTTCCTCCTCCTCCTCCTCCTCCTCCTCCTCCCCTGCTATAGCTCCTGCCATCAACGGCTTTGTTGTCATTGCCATAGCCATCACCACCGCTCTTATCATGGCTCTGATGATTCCGAGGACCATGGCTAATATTGCCAATGTTAAGCAGCGAAGCGAACACATACGCCGGTAGAGGACAGGACCTCGACACCCGCCCCGCGCTGAAATCGCGCGTCCCGTCAGTGAGCGGGGGAAGGCGTGAGCGTGTCGACAGCCGAAGTGTGCGCGGGTGCGCAAGCCATCGTCTCTTCGTCGGTTTTGTTCTTTCAGCAACATCCTCCTCCTCCGCTTTTTCTGCTTCTGCCTCCTCTTCTCCTTGTGCTTCCTCCTCTTCAACCTCCTCAGTCAAGTCCACAAGCATGCGCCTAAGAAGACTCCGAACCAGCGCCACCAGCTCTAATCGCACCACATTTAACCCCTCCAACCTCCCAACGCCATACGAATCCTCAATGCTGATCTGCGTGGGGACAGCTCTAGCCTCTGCCACGAGGCTCGGGTCGATCCCATGAAGTAATCCCCAGACCTTCATTCCGATATCCCTAGGCCATGTTCCGCCGGCCCCGGCCCTGCCGCTGACACTTCCACTGCTGATGCCGCCGGAAGACGGCGATAGTAGTATCTCATTCAGCATCCGCGGACACATGCCCGGATATAGCCGGACATCTCTGACGGTGACGTGGTCCTCTTTCGAGAGCTGTTCGTACATGCCCGATGTAGGCTGGCGGCCGAGAATGTGCGCGCGGATCTTCTGGGCGATTTTGAAACCGATGCCCGGGATTGCGCTGATGTCATGGGCGTCGAGGAAACGGGTGATGGTGCCCTGTTGGGCATGGGCGTGTTCTTTGTCAGCATTGTCATTGTCATTGTCATTTTCGATGTCGATGTCGATGTCGTTGTGGTTGTCGTCGTCGTCGTCAGCACAAGCGCCACACTCATCGGTGGAATCATACGGAGGCAGAAGAGTCGTCTGGTTCCGCGGCTTGTGGACGTTTCCCGCAAGCTTTGCTAGAAGCTTGGAGGTGGAGATGCCCACTGTGGCTGTGTAACCTTTGTGTTCCTCGAGTTGGGTGCGGATGTAGCCCGCTAGATGCGAACCAAGGATCAGGCGTTGGCATAGTGCGTTGCTATTTGCATTGTCTTTGCTACTGGGTGAGAACGGATGTGTCTGAGAGTCTGATGTGGCATATGGGGCTGAGCCATCATCGGATTGGTGAGATGGGGGATAAGAAGGCCCCGATACTGTGCGGGCATCGTATGCAAAGCCCTGAGTGGGGTCTGTCTTGTCAAGATGGAAGAAGGAGCTGGATAGGTCATTGTAGTTGAGAAGCTCGATGTTGTAGTCCACCAAAGAGGTGACGTCCAAGAATACCTATTTTATTTTCGACGGATGATAAAAATTAAATAATGCTAATCGATCGACAATGAAGGATATATATTCAATGGGATAATTGACGGCAGAAGCATTTTAAAAAACAAAAGCAAATAAAGTAACATAAAATAAATAATAAGTGAATCAAAAGAGAGCACCCACCTCATCAAACCCCAACCTCTCAACCCTCCCGCCCCAGCCCGACACATACCCCTTCAGGAACGTATAGATCTCCTTGCTCGCATCGCGGAACCTGGTCAAATCCTCGCCCGGCACGATCACCACGTCCGGACACACCTTCTTCGCCTCCTTGATCAGTTGCAACTTGCGCAAGCCGCGCCGGCGCGCTTCATAGTTACACGTGACGACGATCTGCTTCTGCTGGACGGCCAGTGGCACTGCTTTCAGCGCGGGGTTTTCCACTTCGAATACGGAGGCGTAGAAGGAGTCATAGTCCTATTGTTTATTGTTATTATTATGGTTGTTTTGTTGGTAGGAAAATGTTTATTTTTTATTTATTTATGTATTTTTTTTTTTAAAAAAAAATAAAAATAAAAATTGTTTGGGTGTCCTTTTTGGGTCGACTTTCAATTGATACACAGCCGAATGTCGGGGGGGAGGGAAGAAAAGGGAGCACGCGACGTGGTACGCCAATGCGCGCTGGATTAGGCATGGGATAGTACAAATTTTCGACTGATTTATATTCGACTTCTTGAAAAGGCTAACAGAGCAGTGGCGAACTGTTGGGGAGGAGGGAAAGGGGCATCCCAACCGGAACTGCACGTAAAGGGAAAAAAGGAAAGAGTAGAAATTAGAAGAAAATTTCAAGGGTCCACTAACAAAGTGCAAGATAACCCTGCCATCGTCTCTGTGCAGGAAACCCCTGTTATTTTTCATGGTTGCCATGACAGGTTTTCCTCTTGACGTTTCCCATCAAGAATCAGTCAGTCCCCAGTTCCTTTCTCCCACTCCCTTCCTCCCTTCCTTCCTCCCTACCTAGCTACGGCGCGGGCAGGCAGGCAGCTCGTGTCCATACACCTATGAATAAATCGCCGAAGAAATGCCGCCAAAGGGGAGGAGTTGTTTGTAAGAAGGAACGTGGGGTGGCGATAGAGCTAGTACTAGTGAGCAAGAAGAGGAGGCAAAATTACAACAAAAAGAGTCCTAGCGAACACTGATGGGATGGTATGGATGTCAGATGCTGCAATGACGTTTTCCAAGATGATGCCCGCGATGCGCTGCAGCAGGAGAGGTCAGGAAGAGCCAGGGAGCAAGGAGGCAGAAGAGGTTATTTCACGCTAAAAATAGCGCGGGCGTTTATGAAGATAACATACCCTGTATTCCAGTAAGGAGCCAGAGCAAAGCAAGGGAGAGCGGAACGGACGCGCAATGGAGGAGGGGTTCCTCGAGCAGGGAATCCAAGTTTTACTCTGGGCCTGGGAACTGAGGGTAAAGGAGGTTCATCGTGCCGACAGTCGGGGTGATCGCAAGCAGGGGATGCGTGTAAAAGAACTAAATTTTCATCATGGTCTACCTGGAACAAACAGCCATCAGCGGTGGAGAGGCAGCAGCTGGTTGGTTGCAACAGGGATACAATTCATTCTTCCCCTCTCAACGCTGCAGAACTGGATTGCCTTGAGTGCTCTCGCACATGTCTCCCGATTGGGGATGGGCTGAGCGCCATAGTGTGGCTGGGTGACCCAATACTAGTGATTGTTGAATCGTTCAAGCCCTGTTGGCAGTTCCAATGTCCCGTCTGTACGGAGTACTAACTAATACTTTCTAGAAAGTACTAGTATTTTGGGAACACTCGAGGAAGTTCTGGATGTGGGTATGACGCATGTCAACGCCCTTTTAACCCAAAGAACGGTCAGGTTCATGATAATGCTATTAGAGGAGAAGGTGCTTTAGTGTGATGGAACAACCTTCCACCAGATTGCATGATTCACATATAAAATTGAACTTTTGCCAATAGGTTAAAAGGAAAATTTCCCTAATGACCATATTCTCGAGTTCACAACTTATGCCTTGAAGTTTCACATCTGGTAGCTCGTCGGGGCCTCCCGTTCCCGTGAATCGTGGTTTGACCTTATGGTCCCTGTTGGTGCCAATGGCCACCCTTAAACCGAACGACGACAGAAGATAGCAACCACTAACTAGCAGCTTGGTTGTTGGAGACAAGAAAGAGCCTATATAGGATAATTCTAGCATTTCATCACTCCATTTGCAATTGATTGGTTGGTTGTTAGCTATCGTTGATCATGGGATATCAAAAATCCTCTCTCCTACCCTGCAACTTCGTTGAACTTGGTTCATTTGACCGGAAATGAATTGTAGTCGTGCCAACCTTCTTTCTCCTTTCGTCTTTTAATTTTCCCTGTGGGCTTTCTGGCCCGTGGGTAGTTATGTCGTCTTCCATTTTTTTACGAGACATCTCGTTGAAACGGGCGTATAATGAAGCCGATAAGGCATACGATTACGCGCTCGTTCTCCTTACTTTCGAAAGAAGACCCCCCCCCCCCAAATACCTCCTCTGGGCCCTCTTCTACCACAATAAGAACCCATCGATGAGGAGATATGCCCAAGCTACAATCCCAAAAAATTCTACCCAGCAAAAGCCTGGAGAGGTGCTCGCCAATCGCCATCAAATCCTTGTAAAGGTTGGCTGAGGGGTCTCCTCCACCGTATGGTTTGCTCGTGATATGCGAGGGTATTTTTTTGCGTTTACTACGTTTCTAAGTAGGGCCCATTGCTAAGAGCTTATCCAGATATCACTGGGAACCAAAAAACATTGTAGCACTGAAGATAACCAGTACCAACCCGCCATCAGCTGATGATGAATGTGAAATTGAGGACCACATTGCCAAGACAGACTCGTCCTACCGTGGATATCATCGGAATGCTTCGACGTCACTGGCCCAGAAGAACAACATCTATGCCTAGTATATGAGCCTATGAGAGAGCCAATCTGGCTTTGTCAGAAGTGTTTCAATGGCGGGGTGATTCCCCTTCCACTCATCAAAACATACATTGTTTTCCTTCTTACAACCGTAGACTATCTTCACACGGGATGCGGGGTTGTCCATACTGGTGTTCATTCCTCCCCAAAAAATTGGTTCATTCGGGCTGTGTCAGGCTTACAACTAATCCTGTAGATTTGAAGCTTGGGAATATTATGGTCACATTCGAAGACCCGGCTGTACTTGACGATTCCATGAATTCTCAGCCGGAGCAGCAGGTGGAATACAAATTTGACTCCACCGTCCGAGCAGTTTATCACTCTCACAGTGATTCCAGGCCACTGAGGAAAGTGAGAAATATACCCCAAGGTTGTTGACTTTGGACAGTCCGCAAGACTTGATGACCAGGACGATTGGGGAATCTACCCTATTCGGCCCGATCACTATCGCGCGCCAGAGGTCGTCCTTGGTTGTGACTGGAAAATGAGCACGGACATATGGAATCTGGGTATTCTGATATGCTCTATATTTCTCGGTTCGGATTTAACCCATAACCAACACCATGCCCGCTCTGGGATATTATCCAAGGCAAAGAACTGTTCCGCCAGGTTTACGATGCACAAGGCCATTATGATGCTAAAGCGCATCTGGCAGAAATGACAGCCTTACTGGGTCCACCCCACCCAGAGCTGGTGGCAAGATCCCACTCGATGCTGAGGTATTACATGGCTGAAACTATAAAAAGGGAGGATGGCAAAGTGTGCGAAAACGCGGAGCAATATTTCGACGGCCCATTTTTTGATAGATAGTAGGTAGTTCGAAAGGTTCCCGCATAAATTGCAGTGGAACTCTGGCCTAGCTCGTTGGTCAAATGAAATAAAAACTAAATTACTCAATTGAACAGGCAAATTTTTTGCATAACGAACTGGCAGATTCGCTCCGGCGCCTGAAAAAGCACGAGTGCAACACCTTGGTATACCAGAAACCAATACCAAGACTCTTTTCGGACATTACATCCCTTGGAGCGTGTAAAGTGCCCTCCCCGACTCCTTCCCACTTCGCTTATTGGTAAATTCCGCAAGATTATTCCATAATACAATATAATTAAAAAGTTTCCAGATATTTCCAATTCTTTTGATATGATTAGATACTTTCATTTGCCCCCGATATTCTGGTTGAATTCTTCTTATTATTAGTATCTGATATATATTTTTAGTTGGCTATTTATTATATTCTTAAACATTAACCGATTTTATATCTACATGTGTATGTCAAGGTCTGGCAACACCGATTGGACGGACGCACAGTACCAGCCACCGAAGCCAAAGGGACGACCTGGGCACAAGAATCTGGTCGCTTAGGGAACCGACCTTCCCCAAGGTCAGTGTCCAACCAGCGATGCTCTCGTCAAGTCGGTCCTTTGATGCCGAGAGAAAAGCTGTTTTCTCGTTCACCTTTTCTGTCCTTTACTCCGCTTCTCCTCTCCCCCCCCTGCTCCTCCTTTTTTTTATTTATTATTTATTTTATTATTTTTGTAAACAATTTGTTTTTCTTCATAAACTCCTTTTTTCGATTTACACATACTCGGTCACTTCTCGCATCCACATTCCCGCTGGAGGTGTTTATCTATACAAGGACCTGGGAAGGTTAATCTTGAAGCTCGCTACCGATCTTGAGTCTACCGCGTATATCTATCACATGCGGGAGTGTCCGCCGAGGACAAGCACTAAAACCTTAACGAGCGTAAATGGTGAAAGAAGGAAGTTGCCGAATCCAATTGATTCAGTGTCCAAAAACCGCGAGCTATCCGTTTTGATACTGGTACTATCTTGCTTGGAGGCGACCGCGGAGAAGAGCTGTGAATCTGAGAGCTAGTGCGAAAAAAAAACCTTTTTTTTGTTTCTTATTTTCTTTTGAACGTGGCTTGCAGGGCGGAGTTTGCTCGGACTGGTTGAGTCGTTGTCGGCTCGTACAGGATTGCCGCAGCAAGTCCAGTAGTAGAGCACAGAGTCCAGAGTCCAGAGTTCCATTGTCCAATGTCCGGTCGCTCCAGCATCCCTCAACGGTCGCTAGCTATTAGCAGTAGTCGTAGTGCTGATAGCGCGAAGGGCCGGATCGTCGCTGCCAAGAGGCCGAGGTTTGTATTTTTAGGTGCAGGAGAGCCACAGCAAAAAATCCATTTCATGATCTATTTGCGATTCGTTAGTTTCTCATCTGTAGTTGCGAAGAGGATGAGATGATGAGATAGGTGATGACGATGCCTGGAAGGGGCAAATAGAGGCAATGGCCAAAACCTTCCAGCAGAAACCGGCCCAAACAGATACTAGTTAGTATACTGTATACGCAAGAATATTACGTAGCAAAGAAAAAAATAAGGACACACTTAATGTATTTTTTGAAATGCGATTGGCTTGGTCCTTGGATATGATGGGCATTATTTGTGAAAATAACCCGGATTATATTTAGAGCAGGAGATCTGCGAGAACTCCACTCCGTACGCCGTAGTACGCCGTAGAGACGAAGAGAGTTCCCAGAATCCCAGCTTCCAGGGCCTCCACCTGGTGCGCTAACTCGGCCAGCCAGGGATGGATGATGCCCGCCGAGGCTGCGACGACTGGACGCTCTGCTGCCACTGCCCATGCCCAGTGCCCAATGTCCAATGTCCATGCAGCTGGCCATGGAACTTGGTTGTGTTTCGGGCCGCGGGGATGTATGATTGATTGCCTGGACCTTATCCCCACGGTATTATGGCATGATTGCAGAGCCAGGGACTGACTGACGGGGGGGCCAGCAATCCATCAACGAACCTGGTTGATGACAGATGTTTCAAGGAAGGGATCAGGTAGCTAGCTCGGCCAGTCACGCTGCCATACTGTCATGGCTGTCTCTGTCTGTCTCTGTCTGCCCTGTCTGTGCTGCCCATGCTGCCCGTGCTGTCCTTGCTGACTGTCGACACGGCAAGTCTCTTGTGCTGCAGCGTCCCTTCGCCCGTCACACCCGATCACGCAGCGAAAGCCACCCAGATACGGCCAACGGGGTGGGGGAGAGGGAGCACGGCGTCGGTCTTTTATCGCTGCCAGAACCCCTCCTCGACTCCTCGACTCGGTGATCATTTTTCCGTTTTCTTTGCTTCTTCTGCTCTTCTTCTTCTTCTTCTTCTTCTGCTTCTTCTGCTTCTTTTCTTGCTGGCTGGCTTTCGCTTCTCTGCTCTTGTCGCTCAGTCCATCTGTCTCCCCATCTGTTCGTATCTCTCCGTGAAGCCCCCTTTCGGCTAAGCCCCCCAGCAGATTTTATCTCCACCCGCCGCCGTTCTCGGGGCTTGGGATAAGAATAGGCCTCCACCGCAGCGCACCGTTGACGCTGTTCCAGGATTCGACTGCTCTGCTCTGAGTGCTCGACGTTGACGTTGACGTCGTCGCGGCCTTCCCACAGAAATCACCACAGAAATCACCATAGGAAGGGAATAAATTCGAATCTCCTCCACGCTCTCCAGCGCCACGCCGAAATCCGACTTTTTTGATTTCGTGCACTAGTTTTATTCGTCTGTCTCTGCTATTTTTGTCCTCGCTCCTTTTGATTATTAGTATTGATTATTATTATTACTTTCTCTCCTCGTGCCTGACTGATCCGCGCTCCGCTCATTATCTGCCCCCCGCCAGCTTACGAGAGATCTAGAGGGCAAATAAAGGGGCATATTGACCTGAAACATTAAAATTTATATCTATCTATATATATATATACGCATACATACGTATACAAAATAGCGGAAGAAGAGAAAGAGAACCAAAGAAGCTCTATGGAACCCCTGCCTTAATATACAGCTCGACCCCAACCCACCCCAACGGCCATCATGGCGCAATAAACCAGCTCCCCTTCTCAACACAAGACGCCATGTTTACCCCCCAGCCTAGCTGCTGTCTCTCTCCTTGTACACTTCCTTGATGCCTCTCTCCGTCTGGGCAGCTTCTCTTGAGCTTGAACAGGGTGTCCTCGCCTCGCTCTCCCACTGGATCTCATCCTTCTTCAAAATGCTCGCCGTTTCCCTGAATCCAAAGCCCCCTCATATCCATCCTCCGGACGCCGATTCTCCGCCAGACGCTGTTTCAAACGCAGCAGAGTCTTTAAGCTCTTTCGCTCCTCCTTCTGTTGTTCCTGCTGCTCCTCCCGCTCCCCCTCTCCCTCTCCCTCCGCTTCCCCCAACGGCGGCTGCGTCTGTCTCATCTACTCCCCTACCACCACGCCAGGAATCGCAAACCCCTCCCGATATGTTTTTGAAACCTGCAGTCCCCCATCCCATATGCGGCGGCCAAAGCCATGCATCTCCCAACAGCAACAAACGACCAAAACTCTCGCTTCAGACTTCGTCGGTCCCAATGACCTTTGGCAAATCGACAACCGCGCTTTCTCTCACCCTTTCAGCAGGCTGTTCACCGTCCCCCACAGTACGGAATACATTTAGCAATGCCTACGACGGATTTAGGTGCACCGCATCCTTATCCCCAGTTGGCGCCTCGTCTCCAAAATCTGCTTCCCGACCCGGAAAACGGAGCTCGTCTTACCTTTGCAACTACCAAGGAGTGGACGACGAAATCCCGTACAAGCTTCCACTAGGACTACGGAGTATTCTGCGTAACTCTCCACTTCAGACATCCTCATTACGACGGCCGTCGCTCGCTGCGCCAAGCGGTAATGGCTCTAGCAATGGGCACAACCAGCGCAGAGTGCTGTTCCCTGCGAAAAGACAGGTCAAATACCGTTTCCCGCTCGATGAAGAAATCAAGACCGTCCGCTATATCGCGAAACACTCAGATCTCTTATCCCTGGATTCCCCATCTGGGCCATTGGATATCAACACGTCATCAGACGAGAGTGAGGAATCGGACTCCTCTTTGTCACAGCCAGGCTCCAACCTATCAGATGATGACGATCCCATAGCGTCATCTAAGGAAGATAGGAGGAAAAACAATCTTGCCAACGCCAATACCCGCAACACTAGTGACGACACTTCTGTTAAAAATAGCAACTCAGCCTCGCCAGTCGTGCAGCGGCCACGAATTGCTAAAAGAAAACATTCCGCAAGCGAGCGACAAATCAGAGCCGTCGCGCTTCGAGAAGAATTATCCGGTTCCGGTGGCGCACATGGCTACCGCGATGACACTCCCGGAGTATCATACCTCCACCAACGACGGAAGCGGCCTTGCAAATGGAGGTGGACCCTAGGCCCGGTTGAAAACGGCCACGCGCAGCCAATTGATGATAGGATCCACTGCGGCAGTCCAAACCCTGATGCGTCACTGGCGGTGGCGGCTCCTCACCAGCAGGCAACCGCACCACCGACAGCAATGGACGTTCCTACGTTGAGCTGTCCGGCGCCGAGACATCGGCTGAGCCCGCTGGTAAACACGACTGCTCCACCACGCATGGACATTCCGACACAGCCACAGGAATCCTGTCCTCCCCAGGATTCAATGTGACATTCTGCGCGAAGCCTCCTCCATGCCTCTAGCAGAGTCTACGATCGAGCGTCCCCCGTGCTTGATCGAACGAAGCAAGGAGGAAAAAAATTCCTTATTTCACTTCCCAAATCATAGTATTATTGACTTACTTGCATGCGATATTCTCGCATATCTCACGTACCCATCCACATTATCCATTTGAAA